TAAACCCTAACCCTAACAACCCTAACCCTAACAACCCTAACCCTAACAAACCCTAACCCTAACAACCCTAACCCTAACAACCCTAACCCTAACAACCCTAACACTAAAAACCCTAACCCTAATAACAAACAACCTAAAAACCCTATCACTACCAACGCTAACCCTAAGAACCCAAAACCTAAACACCCTATCCCCAATAAAATAACCCTGACAACCCTAACCCTAACAACCCTAACCCTAACAACCCTAACCCTAAAAAACCCAAACCCTCACAACCCTAACACCAACAACCCTAACCCTAAGAAACCCAAATCCTAAAAACCCTAACCGTAACAACCCTAATCCAAACAACCCTAACCCTAAAACACCCTAATCCTACCAACCCTAACACTAAAAACCCTAACCCCAACCCTAACAACCCTAATCCAAACAACCCTAACCCTAAAACACCCTAATCCTACCAACCCTAACCCCAACCCTAACAACCCTAACCCTAACAACCCTAACCCTGACAGCCCAATCCCTAAAAGCCCTAATCCAAACAACCCTAACCCTAACAAACCCACATCCTAACAACTCTAGCCCTAACAACCCTAACCCACACAACCCTAACCCTAACAAACCCTAACCCTAACAACCCTAACCCTAAAAAACCCAAATCCTAAAAACCCTAACCCTAACAACCCTAACACTAACAACCCTAACCCTAACAAACCCTAACCCTGACTACCGTAAACCTAACAACCCTAACCCTAACAACCATAACCCTAACAAACCCTAACCCTCACAACCCTAACCCTCACAACCCTAACCCTCACAACTCTAACCCTAACAAACCCTAACCATAACAACCCTAACCCTCACAACCCTAACCCTAACAACCCTAACCCTAACAACCCTAACCCTAACAACCCTAACCCTAACAACCCTAACCCCAACAAACCCTCACCCTAACAACCCTAACCCTAAAAAACCTAACCCTAACAAACCCTAACCCTAACAAACCCTAACCCTCACAACCCTAACCCTAACAACCCTAACCCTAAATACCCTAACCTTAACAAACCTAACGCTACCAACCCTAACCCTAACTAACCCTAACCCTAACAACCCTAACCCTAACAAACCTAACCCTAACAAACCCTAACCCTAAGAACCCTAACCCTAACAAACCCTAACCCTAACAACCATAACCCTAACAACCCTAACCCTAACAAACCCTAACCCTAACAACCCTAACCCTAACAAACCCTAACCCTAACAACCCTAGCCCTAACAAACCTAACCCTAACAAGCCCTAACCCTAAGAACCCTAACCCTAACAAACCCTAACCCTAACAACCCTAACCCTGACAAACCTAACGCTACCAAACCCTAACCCTAACAAACCTAACCCTAACAAACCCTAACCCTAAGAGCCCTAACCCTAACAAACCCTAACCCTAACAACCCTAACACTAACAAACCTAACGCTAACAAACCCTAACCCTAACAACCCTAACCCTAACAACCCTAACCCTAACAAACCCTAACCCTAAGAACCCTCACCCTAACAAACCCTAACCATATCAACACTAACCCTAACAACCCTAACGCTAACAAACCCAAACCTAACAAACCCTAACCCTAACAACCCTAACCCTAACAACCCTAACCCTAACAAACCATAACCATAACAACCCTAACCCTAACAACCCTAACCCTAACAAGCCCTAGCCCTAACAACCCCAACCCTAACAACCCAAACCTAAAAAACCCTAACCCTAACAACCCTAACCCTAACAACTCTAACCCTAACAAACCCTGACCCTAACAACACTAACAAACCCAAGAAGCCTAACACTAATAGCCGTAACCCTAACAACCCCAATCCTAATAACCCTAACCCTGATAACCCTAACCCTCATAATCCTAACCCTAATAACCCTAACCCTAACAACCCTAACCCTAATAACCCCTAATAACCCTAGCTCTAATAACCCTAACCCTAACCCTCACAACCCTAACCCTAATATGAATAAATTAACCACTCGGCCGAACTACTTGGATCCAGACCGCGTGGTTTATGCCATACAGGCTTAGTATAGGGATACTACTATGGTCAAAACAAAGGAAACAGAAACGACTGTCGTGAGTTTGTTGTGCTACAAACACATTTGGCTTTCTTTCCCAGCTCTCGAAGGAAACAAGTCATTCTCAAGCGAAATTTTTTTGCAATATAATAGATCCTTTATTAACCAAGCTTGTTCGGTCATGAACCTCGACTTCGTCTCTTTCATAAAAATGCAAAAAAAGCCATCTTGACCTCACGCTTCGTTAATAATGCATATCTATTAGAGCTTCACTGGAACATAGGAACAGAAAAAAAAATCGTTTTACGAGTTCCTAAAGCAACAGTATGGAGCGGATTCTGGTATGCTGTTGAACGATAGACTGATGTGACAAGATTACCTTCTTCTTCTCCTCCTCCTCCCCCACCACTGCATTTGCCGCAACTTTT